TCGCTTGAGGCCAGGAGTTCGAGACTGGCAGAGCAACACAGCAAGATCCCATCTCCACAAAAAATTTAAAAATTAGCCGGATGTGGTAGCGCGTGCCTATCATTCTGGCTTCTCAGGAGGCTGAGGCAGGAGGATCCCTTGAGCCCAGAAATTCAAGGCTACAGTGAGCGATGAGCACGCTACTGTATTCCAGCCTGGGTGACAGAGTAAGACCCTGTCTCAAAGGAAAAAAAAAAAAAGGCATTAAAAAAGACATTTATTTTTTGGCAGAAGGATATATGTATGTTTAACTGAATTCTATGACAACTATATAATTTAGATTTTTTGCATATGAAAATTGAGAAACACACTCTTCGGGTTATCTCATTTTTAATACATGACTTCTTCATGTTTGACAAAATTTATACTTTTTGTTTTTCTGTTAGTGCCTATCAGAATAATGACATCACTGAATTTGAAAAAATTCTGAAAACAAATCACAGCAACATCATGGATGATCCTTTCATAAGAGAACACATTGAAGGTATACTCTTTCTGCTGACTACATTCTATTACTTTCTTTGCCAGTGTCAAATACTTGTTAATGGAGCTGCTTGGAATTAAGCCATTTTTGTTCTGTTTATTGCAAAGAGTAGAAATGTTTCTAAATGCTGTCATGGAATAGTATACTCTTTAAAATTATAAAGTTGTTTTAAAGAAATCATTAGCCAATTTCACATTACCATAATCAAGTTCTTTTATATGTTATTTTGTTTAAGGTTACTGTCCTTTTTACCTTTTTATTCTAATTTAGATATCGTTGCATGTTTATTATTGATGCTTAGGTTCTAAGTTAATTTTCAGGGTTTATTTTTGACAAATAACAAAAGCTTTGAAAATATTCTGCTATAGATAATACTGAGATGTATTTCCTACAAAAGGTAAGATAATGTTGGGAAGGTTTCATACCAGTAAGTGAATGAGATTTTTAATAAGTTCGGTTGAATTCCCAAAGATGAAAATCATCCCTTTGTTCTGGGACCTCTTTTATATTAATAGCTCCATTGCTGCCATCTATTAGGGAGCTTTTTGAAGGTTTTTAAATGGCCATTTGGAACTAAATTTCAGATGTATCAGGAAAATCTGAGGAATACTTCAGAAGTAATATTCCTCACTTTCTCTTTCATTTAAGACATTTTTAAAGTTCTTATATGAACCTACTAGTATAAACTCACTATGCTATACTTTGCAGGTACATAAAAATGTAAAGGCTTTGTCCATGAACTGCAATCTGGTTTTAAAAAATTAGACAATTATATGTGAAGAAACTGGAGGAAATTGTGAAAGCATTATGTAAAATATAGATTTCGAGAGAGCATAAAAACAAGGAATTTGGCTGGTATAAATTAGAGTTTCTTGAAAGATGTTAACTGCTGAAAAATAATGGGCAAGGGAATAGTATTGAGAAGGCAAGAGGATATTTTAGTACAGTCAAAACATGAACAAAATTAAGGAGGCAGGAACAAGTTATGGGAGAGGCAGCCATTGATCATACTGTATATCCATTGGACCCAAATATTTTAAAATCTAAGCAATTCATGTTCTTGCCAAGCAGAAAGATGTGTTTTGAAAAGAAATGATATATAGTTAATAGGATTTAGGAGTATATAATGATTCATAAAGATACCATACAAACTGTTAAATACAAATATATTATCATTATTTTGTCTTTTCTTTCAGAGCTTTTGCGAAACATCAGAACACAAGTGCTCATAAAATTAATTAAGCCTTACACGAGAATACATATTCCTTTTATTTCTAAGGTACTTACATTCATGGATTTTAATGATGTTTATAATTTATAGTTATAAATGTAGTATACCTAGCTTCCATTTAAAAAATAACTTGGTATTAATATCTTATAATAATACATTTTAAAAACTAAGCATAACTTAAGGGCTTTACTTTTTTGTTGTTTTTTGAAAAAACAGGATCTCTAGACCCTGTCTCCTAGACAGGGCCTTTCTATGTTGCCCAGGCTGGAGTGCAGTGGCTGTTTATGGTACAATCATAGCATACTACAGCCTCAAACTCCCGACCTTGTGCACTCCTCCCCAGTGACCTGAGTCTGGGATTCGTCTTTACTTTTAATGTGAATTTTTCTGTGTTTTCTTGGCTAAATTAACAGAAACGAGCTTTAACATTGTAACAAAGAAATTGGGAATCACTAAATTCCTTTTAAAAGTTCTTTCAGTCTCAGAAAATTGTAGCAGAGAATAGTAGTTAAAATATAATACTGATTAAGGATCAACCTCAATCACAATAAAATTATGGCAGGAATATACTTCACAAATTACAAAGTTAAATCTTTACCAGATCTATGTTCTCAGATATTTTGAAGTAATAATGAAATTTGTTTAAAAAATCTTCTTTTTACTAATTTTCCTTTAAGCAATAGAAATGAATTTAAATTAGAATGACTATATAAAATATTGAAGTTAAATAGTAGAATTTATAACAAGTCTTTTGTCTTAGGAGTTAAACATAGATGTAGCTGATGTGGAGAGCTTGCTGGTGCAGTGCATATTAGATAAGTAAGTACTTTCCTATTTTTTAGTCAGATGTCTGGGAACATAAATTTTGAATAATGGTGATACAAGTAATAATTGAATAGTTGAATTCATGATTTTTTATAAAAAGCATAAGAGATATGTGTGTGTAATGGTTTTTGGTAAATGAATGAACATATTAAATACATGGGTCTGAAAAAGTTTTAAGTGGTTTTTCAGAAGGATTTCTCATTCATTGTATGACTTATATACAGCTAAAGAATTATTTAATGAATTTAAATTTAGTTTTTAAATAGTATTTTCGTATCTTTTTAATAGGGTATGTGGTACATAACTGTTTTGAAATTATATCTTTTTTATTTATTAGTCAACTCATAATGAATACCATGAAATTATGTCTTTATCTTAAAGTCAGTACAGTATTTAAAGCTTCACAAATAACATTTGCCTTTGATTAACTGGATAAGTCTATGCCCAGTGGTTCTTTCAGTAAAACTGGTAAAAGGTAGCTGAAATCTAGTTTCTTTTTAGAGTTTGAATAAGGAAGTGAAGTTATAACTAACACTGAACTCACTCATTTAATGTAGGCAGCAGTTTTTTCTTTTGCATTTTTTGATATTATATTTTACGAAACATTAGTCCAGAAACTATGCTTAGTGGAAATCATTTGTAGACACATCTTATTTTATTTATTTATTTCCAGCACTATTCATGGCCGAATTGATCAAGTCAACCAGCTCCTTGAACTGGATCATCAGAAGAGGGGTGGTGCACGATATACTGCACTAGATAAATGGACCAACCAACTAAATTCTCTCAACCAGGCTGTAGTCAGTAAACTGGCTTAACAAAGAACAAGTTTTTTCAGACGTCCTTAAGGCAACAGTGCAGAGATGTAATCCTTAAAAGAACTGGGAATGGCAAAACTACTGTCGGTTGATGTGTCCTGAAAATTATTGGAGTTATGGCAGAAGTGCTTTTTTGATCAACTGGTTTGTGTTTTGCTGCTGCATTTATCCCAAGAAAAACAGCTTTAATCTCCAGAAGAAAACCAAAATACCATGGGATTTATGCTGTATTGACATCTTGCCCTAAAAAACATCATAGTAATTTGTCATGGGCAACATGACCAGAGAGAAGATTTTTGTCATGATTTTAAATACACTGACACGCTACTGTTGGTTAAATTTAAACATGTTTTACCTGCAGAAATTCTCTCACAAATAACCTGCAATAACTTGAAATGCATACCCTTTTGAACACTTCCTTTTCTCATGTATAAATTAAAATGTTTGCTGCATTTTGCAAAATGTCAATTCTCCAGAAATGTGTCCGTATATTTCTGTACCTGCAGTGTAGTAAAGGTTTAGATGAAACCCCATAATTATAGTGGCATACTGTCACTTAGGTTTCAAGCAGCAAAATAAACAGTGCAGCTCAGAAATTGTAGTTTGGTTCTTGATGTGTTTTTATTACATTTGGGGTTGTTGTTTTATTTTTTAGAACCTTAGAAATTTCAAATTATTTTATCTTCAGTTAGTGATTTTAAAAGCCTGGGGGCAAATAAGTTGGTTATTTGCTTTCAAGTTTTTAAAAGTAGTCTTTATTGATAAAGTAAGGAGAACTACTTTCTAACAAAACACTTGCATAGTACTTATTGACAGTGATGCTTTAAAGGAATAAAGTTCTTTTTTTTTTAAGAATGATATTCCTTTTTAAAAAAATAAATTCTAACTCTCAGAATGTTCATTTTAAACAAATATGCCAGACATAGACAGCTGAATGAATGTTACCCTGCATAGTGATCATGCTGGAAGGTTATTTCCTAATGCCAGCAATCTACCATTGCCCAAAGCCTCCTAGGTTTGCTCTTTTAGAATTGCATTCAAAGTTAATTTAAGTCACACACTCTATTAACTTTATATATACATTGTTTAAAAAATGTATATATTAAATTACCAACCTTGACTGTTTTCAGTTACCATTATTTGGCACCAAATGACAGTTTCCAAAAATTAATCTCACTTTGAGATAATGTAGAGAGTATGCAACTGACTTTGAAAGCAGTCCCAAAAGAGTTTTAAAGGTATTTTGAGCAGTGGCAGTATAGTTTTAGGAGAATGAACTGTGGCCTTCCAAGGTGACTACCTTAAAGGAACTCAGCTCATTTGAATGTATTGAATTTTGGATGTATTTGGTTCATTTACAAAAGAAGTTGACATTATTTTATAGTGTTAAAAGGAAGAACTAAGATTAACATAATTTCTTTGGTTTTCCTATTGCCTGTTATTATTATGTAAAAAGTGAGTGGCAGTTAAGAAGAAAGACTGTTGTAACTGAAGAGTGACAACCAAGAATTTTTGATCATTAAATCAGATTTTATAAACAGTGGAAGGAGCATGGACTTAAACAAGGCATGCTTATTCGGTTTTGTCAAAATTTTACGAAAATATGTGATATATATTTATACTAAAACTATATAATCGTTAGATTTAGGAAAACAATCAGTTAATGTCTTTAGCAGATAAAAGCAGTATTAAATACAGGTACAAGTTGGAAATTGTAGAAAACTGAAAGAAAACGAAAGACAAAATGTCTATGGTAGGGAATAAAAAAGTTTAAGATACCAAATTATGTGTATTTTCTTCTCTTTTACAAAAATCATTTGTGAAAAGTATGCTAAAATTTTTTACAAGTGATATTAATTAGGATTTATTTTTCAATATAATTTGGAGACCATTTGTTACCCAAATAAAAATGACAAGTTTCTGTGCCTGTATTCAAATATGTATGCATGTGATAACCTTGGAAAGCTAAAGCCCTGCTTAACTTTGAATTGATGGAATTAGAATTCAAAGTATTTGAATGATGGGATTTAACCTTTACCCTCCAACTCTCACAATACCCAGTTCTCCTGTGATATCTTTGTTGTGTGCAGTAGTGTATCTTCCAGTTTCTAGAGAGAAAGCATGCACTTATTATTCTTTGGAAAACTGGGCTAAGTATATAACAATATTCAAAGTTATACCATAACCTTTAATTTAATGTTATTGTGTATGTATCACATAGGTTTGTTTAATATTCCCCAGATATAGGTTGGTTTGTTTTTTGGTTAGTTATTTGCCAATTTTGTTCTAGAACACAGTTTTTTGATATATCTTTCTAACAGTTTAACTTAAAACAATTTATTTTTCTCTTTAAACATTTTTCTGTGATTTTGTGCATCAAACATTGTAGAGTTGAAATCTTCAAGAGATTACTTATCAAAATATAACTAAATTTAAGGGAAGTAAAAAATTGATTGACAGAATTCCTAGCATTTATCCACTGATTAAATCTTTCTTCTTTTGTGGAAACTAAACAGGTAGTTCACGTCGTATTGTGACTATTTCTTTTTATCCCTAAATCTAGTTAAACTTAATCTAAAGCAATCTTTGGCTGCCACAAATAGATGCTGTTATAAGTGCTAGATTTCTATTACTCATTCTTGCTCTTACATTAATTTAAAGTTGATTATTCTTTTTTTCTCCACATCCTAATGTAACATAACTGATTTTTTTTAAGATGAGTATATATTTACTAAGTATTACTTTCATTACATGGGTCTCTTCTAAGACGGGTAGTATATTTTTCAAAGTAACTGAGAACCTGATTTCACAATGGGTGTACAGTTTAAGTGAAGTCTGTTTAAAGTGGGCTGTGCTGTGGGTGATACAGAACTATTTGTTACGTTATGTAAGACTTAGGTTTGTCCCAGACTGAAAAATACCTATTCTTGATATTTAAAATATCCATGATGGTAGCAATTTTAAAAGAAATTTTTTTTTAAATAATTATTCTAATTCTCTAGTAAACACAAATAAGTATACTTTTGTGGTGGAGCTGTCTAAAACAGCCATGCTACTAGTAACTTCTATGTTACGACTAAATTTCACATGGAAGACTGTCCAAATTTATATAATAATCTAGAGGAATTTTTTTTTTAATTCGGAAATAAGGGCATTTTTAAATCAATTTGTAAAGGTTTATTTTATTGCACCTCATTCATCTTTATGTGAGTTTAGAGATTAGAAAAAGTAATCTGGCAGTTTTAATTATCCCATGAAGTTGTCAAGAGTTTTAGCATGCTTAGTTATTAGCATATTAATGCAGAGTATTGAATATCTAATTTTTGTTAAAATGTCTATCCCCTACAATTAACTATAATACTAAATTTTTATACATCTATTTTAAGTAACATTGAGAATAATTAACATTTTCTATTATACTTCAACAAGAAATGGAACAATGATACGGAAAAAGCAAAATTGTTTGATTTTGCAATGTGTTACATAATTGGTTGCATTACAAGGTTTCTCAATTTTGTTCTGCTTAACCTAATATTAAAATTAACAAATTCCTTGAGACTACACTTACTAGAGGGTAAGAGGTAGTGACTAGGAGTGTAGCAGAGTATGTCTACCTGGAATTAGAAGTTCCACAAGATAATATTTGAGAATTGACTAATAATGTGCAAGATGAGTCATAAGATGCTATAAAGCTTAGGTACTCCAGGGGTTTTGACTCATCTGAAAGTGCACATTCCTTACTGGCAGTAAAATTTTCCTAATCTACCTCTTAAATATTTACTACGTAAATATTAGTTACAATTAGCATAAGACCAATACAGTGACTTTGAACAGTACAATATATTATATATGATTGATCAAGTACTTCAATAATGTATACTTCCGTAAAATAGCTTTTGAATGTTTGCGAATGTTTCTCAGAAAAAGTACTGCAAATCTTATTCATTTGGCTTGAAAATCAGGAGTTTAACGTTTTTAATTTAAACATTTTTGTTTTCCACGTTTAAGAGTACCCTCTTGTTCTGCTTTGAAAGAAGCAGAGGAGGAGTTGTCCTCTCCTGAACCCTGTTTAATTGTCCTGGAACAATTCATGTTGCAAACAAATGTCTCTTAGGAATTATTCCTTCAGTATAAAATTAAACATTTTCAAGCTGGATGTTAAGCGAAGGAAAGAAGTGGGGGAAGAAATGTACTCTCCCAAGTCCTGTTATGGTGCTCTAAAAATGAACCATTTAAGGACCGTAACATCTAAGAAACCACTTGTGAATTTATTGTGTATCCAGAAATAATATTGTTCTCAGGTATAACCTTCAATCCAGTAGAATAGGCCAACCCTTATCTCAAAGTACAATGATAATGCAATCAGACATCTTGTGAAAGTCAAAAGAACTTTCTGACTAATAGCCATGTGACCAAGGTTCCAATGTAAATGTCTAAAACTAATGTCACTTTGCACATTGCAAATCCTTTGGCCTTCCAAGTTGTAGGAGTAGAAGAGGAGTGAAGCAGATTAGCTACTTCTATTTCAGCTACATTTCAAATAGCAGTGGTAGGTGGTATTACGTTGATAGCATTAGCCCCACAAGGAACTGTATAAGCAATATACATCTAACATTTTGAGATGTGATTTTATTTCTTGTACTTATTAGTTTTATACTCCCAACTCTTGATCTTTAGAGTATTGAATGGAAATTTATAGTTTTTAAGAAACCTATTTTAAATTTTGGATTATGATTGGATCCTCTGTAGGTTAGTGGTCTTCAACTGAAGAGGAATTACCTAACGAGTTGTTTTGTGAACAAATATGGATAATAAACTGATGTACTTTATTGGGTAGGATGGGGTTGATTGTTAAATCTTGGTCTTCACCACCAACAGGGAGTTAGGAAAGGAATCTAAACATGTTAGAGTACTAAAAGGAACATGCCCTTTCTCTAAAACCTTCATCTGTTTATTTAATGGGTATTTATTGTGTGCCTACTGTGTGCTAAGGGACCATTCTAAGGTTGAAGAATACTGTATGGAACAAATATCCTGTGCTCAAAGAGCTTAGTTGTATGGGGAAAAAGTAGATAAGTAGTTAATTTCAGATAGAAAAAAATTCTGTGAATAAATGAAAGTTGATTTCACAATTGAATAAGGAAAAGAAATTGTACATGCAGATCTTACTCAAAGGGAAAGAGCAGTTCTGGCAGAGCTTAAGGGCATCTGAGTTGGGACGGATATGTCAAATTTAAGCAAAGTAGAATATGATGGTAAGATTGTGGAAGTGGGCAGGGACCAGATTATGTGTAGTCTTGTAGTTAGAGGTAATGAGTTGAGATTTTATTCCAAAAACAGTGGGAAGCCATTGGAAATTTAAAACATGATTCTGATTATTGTGTGGAGAAACTGCTACACGGGGCAAGAGTGTGGGCAGGGAGTCCAGTAGGAGCCCACTGCAGAAATTTAGATGAAAGATGATGGAGATTTTTGGACTGGGATTTGGAGAGAAGGGCACAGAATCAGGAAAGGGTCGACAAGGTTTGTTTGAGTTGAAATTGGAGGCTATGAAGGAAAGAGACATGAAAGATGGCTGTTAGGTTTCTTATTGAGTAAATG